GTGTGTGTGTGTGTGTGTGTGTGTGTGTGTGAGAGAGAGAGAGAGAGAGAGAGAGAGAGAGAGACCTGCAGCATGCAGCATGCAGCATGTCAGTGGCGGGGAGCACAAGGGCAGGTGTTGACCTCCAAAAAAAACGTAGTAATTTTATTGGAATACAATACTTTTTTCTTTTCGAAATCCGAATAGAAAGGTTACACGTATTCCAATACAACGTGTACGTTTTCTATTCGAGATACTCTTCTATTCGAAAAAAGTGTATCGGCACCATTTCAATTTTGAAAAAGGCTTAAGGACCGCGGCCTCCTTGGTCTCCTACGGGCAGTTACTGGTCCTACGCGGTCCTGGGCCTTGCAAGGCCCCAAAACCTCAAAATGCCCACCCTCCCGACGACCACCGACGTTGAAATGTCTTAGGGGAGGAAAACGCACCTCTGACGGGCTGCGAACATCTCCAATCTACTTCCACCACTCCCATCAAGTAACAACATTGTCAATGACCAGCACTCTCCCAGACACCATACGCACACACATTGAGCCCGTAGTTTGTTCGCAACCCTAACGTTGTGGTGTAGTAGGCTTCGGCGTCCAAGTCAAGGTGGCACATTTTCAGCGTCAGGGAACCGGCGCACAAGTGGGTTCTGAGGGGGTGAAAGTTGTTGGGGACCCGTCCACCGCGTTTTTATAGACTACCTAAAGCTATCGCACGTAGAACCGGCATGGTAGCAAAATTGGAGGACCGGTTCTCCCTCGCTTGTGAACTCCAAAGGCCCCCCCCAGCCCAGGCGTTGAGACCCATCTTCTCAAAACAGGGAGGTCAACGCTGGGAAAACGTGGAAAGGGACAACAAAAAGACGTTTTGCTGGAGGCAACTTTTGAGATTTTTTGTGCTCGGAGGAATTCACAGATAAATCTGCAAATTCGAGAATCCATGATTGGGTCATGGTCTTTCCAAGAAAATATATCAGGAAATTTTCAAAAAATATTTTTTATTTTTGCCACTCAACTATGTGTGGGCCAACAGAAAAAGTACTCAAACTTTAGTGCACAGTACCAATCCAGATAAAATAGGGAAAAAGGAGTCCGCTGGTGATGTCAGATTGCATACAGGCGAGTGAAGGAGATGGGCCGCAGGCCCACACACCTCCTAAACCACCCAACTCCCTCCATCGTCGCACAAGTGACTCTGTCGTCTTGCAAGGAATGGTGGGACGAGCGCGTAAGTGATGGCAACTGGAGGCAGAAGCGGGCAACTCCGGGAGTTGAAGGAAGTTGCATGGTGGGTCTTGAGTGGAGCAACACATCGATTGGAGAGCTCAGAGTTTGACAGCGATGGAAGAGTGGTATGAAGAAGATACTGTTGGCATTGAATAAATAGTTGGAGCGGAATAATGTTGACCAAAGTTGCATGAGTTGCACAAATCTTGATGTGATGTCATTCCTGAGCAGTCAGTGCCTCATTGAGGTCGATGAGCGATGCCGGTCCTTGGTTTCGAAGGTGCTCCCATGGTGTCTCCTTCCACTGTTGATGTTGTTGTTAATTGCTTGAGTGGGTGTTTTTCAGTTGCTAGGCAGGGAAGGAGGAGATGATCCATGTCGAAGTAGCAGTGTGAGGGCTTTCCGAGAGGCTTATCGAGAGTATGCGCTTGAAAGGGAAATAGTAAAAAAGTATGGGTAACGTTTACGGTGATGTGTTTGACAGTATGTGGACTAATCCTATTTCGTGAAATTCCCTAGGGTTTGAAATTGTTGAGATATTTCTCGAGTATTTTTTCGGTTGAAAATTTGGTGGATGAAGATTGAAAGGGTTTTGTTGTGTATGCGTTAGTTTCCCTATGGTCTCACCATATTTACGAATGTTCACTGTCGTTGGAGAGAGCATGTATATTGATCCCGTCAGTCAATGGTTGTCGATAGGGGGTCGGAGAAATGAACAACTGT